CCAATTTCTTACTAGATTTGTCCATAGCAAGGGTACTGATTTTACTAGATATCCATCCACCCAACTGTGAAACCAGTAATTTTTTCTTGCTGTCATTCCTAAACGTCAAATATTCTCTCTTCTATATTAATATAATTTATCAGAATTTTGTTAGTTGCCTTGTATTTTTTTTGTTCTCAGATTTCGGAATAGCGATTTTCTAAGAGCAGTTTTCCTTGCGAATTGCTTATTTAGATGGCAACAATACGCAATCTTCAAGTGACGAATTTGTGACAGCGGCTGATTAGTAAAATTTGCCGAAAGGTACGAATTATGGGGTTTGCGTGTTTTTTGCTGAAGAAGAGGGTTAAACAACGGTGGTCAACTACAAGAGCTGGTGACGTGACATATGATGTTGTAAATCAACAACAGGAAGTGAATGAAACTTTATTGAAGTTTATGCATCCACGCCGAAAAGCAGTGTCTGTCCCTTTAGCCGCGGTGGTCATATCGACATCAAAAACTACCAGACAACGTCGTAGTAGATAAATGTTCCATCACCATGGCACCTAGGAATTCTTCTACGAAATCATCAAAAATTAAATTTAATCTTTAATTTATCCTGCGCCGAGAACAACCACAGAGAAGCAACAAAGCCGTTCCCGCAAAAAAAAGGGGTAGGGGTAACCCGGCCAACTGTCATTTCAATTTCAACGTCGTGATTCTTGCTATTTGCCGATTCGTTTTATTTTTATTAAAAATATATTTTATATTTATAAAAAAGTGTTTTATTTCCTATTTAAAAAACTGACAATCCATATTTCCCGTTTTTAAACAATTTCACATTACCCATGCGCGAAAAAAATTGGAAAAAAATGGAATTTAGAGTGGGAAATAACAAATTTTTAATTTTAACATATTACTAATAACTACTATAATAAAAACCAATATTTTTTCATATAAATTTTATGCACGGTAAGTAAGGTATTATTTTCAATATAATATTTTTCTCAGTGTATAGCATTTATTATGCTCAAAGATATCGGATAATAGATACGCCTTGTATACATTACACTTGTCCGCAACTTTTTTTTGACGGTACGTTCTTCCTATGTTGTCAGATCTCTTTCATCAAATATCAAACATTAAATTTTTATTTAAAAAGTTACTATTACCTTTAATACAATCTAATAAAAAAAGGAAATAAAGAATTGAAAGCATCAATATGAGTTTTTTATTAATTGCAATCACTTAAGACTTTTAAGTAGCTATTTTTACATGTGTATCATATGGGAATATTAAACATTTTGGTATAAATCATTTAACTTTGGCAACCTAAGACATTTTGCTGATGTTGTCAAAGTGACAGATCACATTTTATTGTGATTTTTGTGGTTTTTTGTAGTTTTCAAGAATAATTTAAACTTTTTATTAAGGACTTTTACGATGGGGAGGAAATGTATAGTGTGCCGAAATACGCAGAATAAGAATGTTATTCGGTCATTTCATAAATAAGATTATGTTAGCATAGACGTAGGCATATACAGGGAATAATGCTTAATTTATTTAACAGTGTAAAGGCATTTAGCACTAGCATTGTTTATTTAAATAATAATGTTCTATATTTTCTGATCAGGTTTCCTAGAGAAATTATTCAACGTAGAATTTGGCTGCAAAATCTATGCTTGGTGGAGGAAAACATTATGAAAATGAAAGAAGCCTTAGTATATGTTCTGACCATTTTTGTATGGCAGATATTTATGAAAATTTAAGTGGTAGACACATCTTAAAACATAATGCTATACCTATTAAATAAGTACAGTATTTATTATGGGTATTTTTATTATATGTAAGCTTTAAAATTATACAGTAATCATCACATTTTACAGAATTTTGGGAGAGGTAGTTGAATAGGCGAAAAATGAAGAAAAAAAATCCTTTTTTGTTAGTGCAGTTCGTAACAGATGTTTCAATAACAATCTCACATGGAGATTGTTTCAAATGTGTTATAAAAAATTATTAATTCATAATACAGTAAAGTCAAATAAAACTGCCAATGCAATTGCTTTAGATGGCACCAGCATCTTGGATTGTAGCAACACTAGTAGCCAAATTGCGTTAAATTTAAAATAATGTTACGAATCAGACCCTATTTACAAATGAGCTTCGTGACCATGATTACCTATCTATATATTTTCTGAGCGAATACATTCAGGATGTAGTTGCTTATATTTCTGGTTTTATAGTAAAATCCCTAAAGAAAAAGATTTACTGCAAACAGTGTTCTGCAATTGAATCAGAGAGTTCGAAAACCGTACAAGTCTCAAATTTGACATTTCAAAATAAGCCATTTCGTTTAAAATTTGTCTCTTCATCGATGCGCTAGTTCAGTGATGATGTAATTATAGTTCCACTGACAATTAAAGTGACAGTAGATTTTTTGAGTGCGTTTTGTTTACCTAAATTATATCGCTTTTTTCACTTTTATTAATATATTCCTAAAGTAAGTAGATAGCATGTATCAAATATACAATCATTTAGTTACCAATTATATACCTTTAAACTATTTTTTATGACCTGTAAACAATATTTTGAAATAAAATAAAAACAGTTAAAACGTATATGTCAAATTTATTGATGTTTCTGTTAAAAGTTTGGTTAGAATTAAATGTCAGTGGAACCAAAATGACATCACACTGAACTAGCGCATTGAGCTTAAAAACCGTACTAGATACCTAGCTGTTAATGTAGTACAGCTGATTATACCCGTGAAATTAGGTAAAAAACCGTACATATCTGCGACTCGTACGGTTTTTCATTTCAATAACAAAATAATGGTCAGTTGCTATGGTCAGTTGGAAAAACACAAATACTGAAAATGATGACTGAGATAACAGTTTTGATATTGTATTTTTCCTCCTTTTTGAATAAATATAAAATAAATCTTTTCTCTTCGACAGACTTTCTGTCTCAACTGTCAAAGGTGCTACTTTCTGTTTTTAATACACAAATAGCTATTTTGTCTTTTATTCCAAAATATGCTTTACAAAATATCAGTTATCTTATAACACTAAATAAATCTATTGAGCAGATTCTTCACCAAGAGTGTTTGTAGGAGTAACCATTGATAGTAAAATGACATTCGAAATGTCACAAAAGAAGCTTCCTTTAGTGTTTTTTCTATTCGGACAAATTAGAAATAAAGTATCTCTTGATAATCTTAAGCTAATGTGTTTTAGTCTTGTCCAGATATTATAAAATCATTGCTGATTACTGTCCTAAATGAGTTATTATATCATTACACAAATAATTCTAAAAATAGGTGTCGTGACATGCAACCCAAATGGTATGTAATAGAATGATCATATTTGTATATTTATGTATCTGAAATAAAATTATTCTGTTTTTAATAGCTTTTTATTTCATAAAAAAAGGTAGTCCGGCAATATAATTATTCTTTTTTCGACCTGTAGAAAAGGTTTTCAGAGTACCCATGTAAATATAATAATAAATGGCTTTACATTTTTACTTGCTCTTTGCTCTTCATGTATTTAAAAAAATATATATAATAAAATATTAACAAAAATGTTCTTCCACTTTGAGCTACCTACTATTTTAAACTATAAGAAAATATATAAAATGACTTTTTGAATGCCCTGTATAAATTGAATATGTTTTCTTTAAATTTACCTTTGATTCCGAAGACCCATAGGTTATTGATTTGGTCATTAAATAATGTTTACTAAAAATATATGTAAACCCTCCCGAAACACTACGTCAATGTGCGACGTACGATTCCCCTTTCCCCGTCTGGTAAAACATGCGGACAGAAGGTGTATTGGGTATACAGTGTGTAGGGCGAGTCTATCTTAGATAATATGATGTCTATGATTATGCTCCATTAATTTTTTTCTTGGTTATATTATACCGGCCATCCGTCTAATAAGTCAAATTCAAGGTCAGTTTCCTATTTTAAGAAACACAAATCTATTTGCGAGGTAGAAAGGGGATACCTCAGGGATAGTTCCGTATACAATTGGTCTGGATCTGATAATATATGAGAAAATAAAAAAAAAATTAAGGTCATCTGCACGATTTTGATGTTGGTTTTTTAAAGTTACTTTTATAACTTGTTATACATTCATACAATGTATATCTGATGCCATAAGCTTTTATATATTATGTACTTACAATACAATATAGTTCAGTACCATTATTATTAAATAAATAAATAATTCAATAAAATAACTCACAATTTAAAAAACCTCATTTATTGGTATGAAATAAATTTTTTTAAACCGATTTAGATTAATGAGCACTTTCTTTTTTGAAATGTTTTTCGCCAGCGGTTCTATATATCGACCTCCCCCCCCTGTGATGGAGGGATAAGTAGACGGGGTCGACAAGTAGAGAGGGGACGTTGGATGGTTTGAAATCATTTCAGACAGGGCACTATTAGTTTTTTTTCTATCCCTTACCAGAGGAGTGGGGGGAGAAGTAATTTGTTTTTTCGTTTTTCACGAGCCTCTATCTGTCCATGTAATATTGTCCATGTTGGTTTGAAATTAAAGGGTGCTCATGTTCGCTATAAGCTAATTTTATTAGTCAATCTTAATTCATAATTGTGGATCAATGGATTTCAAATATTGTAGGTTGGAAAAAAATACTATTTCCAATTTTTTTTATTGATACAACTAAAGCTCGTCAATAGCTACTAAACAAAATAAAAAAAAAAGAAAATCGGTTTACAAACAGAAGAGAAAATGGTACTGAACTAGTCTTTGCCTTTTTATATATAGATAAACTAAATAATTATACCCTCATGAATTGCCAGTAGTAAGCATATTTTGGGTGAGCTCTTGTCCCATTAATTATTACTTTTTCGTGTTTCGTATATTTTTAATCACTAATTGTTAAAAGAATATGGAATGGTGTATCGATTAAGTAGGTATACCTAGAAGTAATTTTAATCTATGAATTAACCTGATTAGATATATATCATTACTTTAAAAAACACAGTTCTACATAATATCAGACGTGAGAGGATCCCAAAAAGAAATATAGTGTTTTCTCTAAAACACCTACCTTTTCCTCCATCAATTACAACAATACTCAAACACTTGGAGATTAATATTACAGTGAAAATCCATATGGAAGCTTTAAATAAGCAATCAAAACGTATTTGGAAGTTGAGATGGTAAGTACATAATATTAGAAAATTATCTCAGGCTATCCAAATAAGATTTTTTTTTTATTTCAAACGAGCACATCAAAGTAAGTGATTTCACAAAAAATTAAATTTGAAATTACACAACTACATTTTATGTGGAAGTTGACTCTATATGAAATTCAAATAGATGAAATTTCCTACATTGTAGTTTTTTTTTTAATTAACTGAAAAACTAGTATTCTGGCACTGTACGTCGATGTAACGCTGGTATCCATTTTTTATTTACAGGGTGTTAAAATAGAAATTTTATATGTGAGTTTTTGTGCTTACTCTAAAATGGCCTAACATCTGTATTAAGAATTAAGAATGGGCTACTCAGAATAACTGAAGATTCTTTGATTACAAATAAGACGATTAGGTAGAGTCTCTGCTGTGGATCCAAGGGTCCCAGGTTCGAATCCCACCGTTGGCCGGGATTTTTTTATTTAATTTAATTATTTAAAATTAATTCTGATGCCTTGGTCTGATGCCACTCGACCATTCACTGTTGGGTTCTAATTAACAGTGCTATTCCTAAAGTAGCGCAAGGAAACAGTAACAAGGCCTATCTGTAGGAGTATTAGAGTACTAATACTCCTGCACTATGGAGTACTAGACTACTAGTACAATCCATAACCTACATAGAACACTAGGCTAATGACCTTAGATGTTGAAGCCGTAAGCCAAAGAAAAAAAAATAAGACGATTAAGCGAAACATGGTTAGATAAAATATAACTGGATTCCGAAATAGTTAAAGTTGACCATTCAAAAATTAATAATGGTTATAATTTTTTTATTACTCTGTATAATTGTACTAAATATAGTATACATTGTTTGGTTGTATAAGATACAGCTATCGGCAAAACAATAAGTTTAATAAACTTTACCAGTGGCTTACAACACAGATAGGTATCACGTTCATCCCCTTTATGTAAAAGTATAGTCCAAATAAGATTTTGGACAATGGCGTAAAATTTAGAGGAAATGAATGTGTTACTTATCTGTGTAAAGTTTATTTAACTGATTGTTTTTTTTTTCCTAGTATGTGTTTCTTATCACTTCAACAATGTTTGATAAAGTTACTAAAATTATTCTGAGAAATAAAAAAATTATAGCTAATAATAATTTTAGAATTTTCAACTTTAACACCCTATATTTCGGAAACTAGTATTATTTTCTGTAAGAATATTTTATTTAATCGTCTTATTTTTAAATAGAAAATCTTCAATTGTTCTGTATCCCCTTAAGGGCCGCCGAGAGCCAGGTCGGGCCCCAGGGCAATTCTTCAGATCGTTCCCCGCGACAATTTTATAAAAAAATTCTCTACTTGAATTTCTCTAAAAAAAAGGTCTTCAACCAAAAACTCCCCCCCTCCCTCTTGTCGGCCCTGATCCCTTTCTTAGGAAAATGTACATGATATGCTTGTATATAAGTGGAGTCATCCAGATAGCACAGGACGTCCCATATACGTCCTAATTTGGTCCCTTGTTGATCCGATTAGTCCGGCACCTAAATCGGACGTCCATTGGACTTTCGAGTACCATGAATACTAGGACGTCCTGTATTGCTCCCGTTTCGACAAAACGTTCAGTTTTTGGTCCAAGTCCAAGACGTTATTGGGACGTGTGAATTAAGAAGACGTGTCACAATAGTAAAAAAAATATGTTTGGCAGTTGTCGATCAAGATCGGCGACTTCATCTCCTAAATTTAGAGAAATTTTGTGTAATACACAATTACCGGTAAATTATTTTTTGGATTTAAAGATGGTGTAAGCAAATAATTTTTAGTTTCTACATCGATATTAGCGCGTAAAGCACTCCGACCTGGCCACTTAAGAAATTATATTAATTATCTTCAAATTAACGTCGTACACAGTTTGTGTGTTGATCGAAAATATTTTTCAATTTCTAAACTTCTCCGCATTTGGCCTACCAGATTTAATTCTTACATCTGTGCAGTTTACTGCATACCCAGATATCACACGACGTCTGAAAGACATCTTTTTTGTGCCTTGGTTTGGTCTCAATGTCCTAAGACGTTATTAAGACGTCTGGCAAAAGCCATAATTCATACGTATTAATGTGAAAGCTTATCGACATTCTTAAGACGTCAAATCCATATTTTAATATCAAAGCTCCCCTTTTGTAACATCAGACGTCTTTCAGGAAATACCAGACGTCTCTAAAGACGTCTCATATCCTATGTTAGACGTCTTTAAGACGACTTTGTGCTATCTGGGATCCATTCATCATTATGATTGGTGGGGTTTTCCTCACCTTTAAGTCAAATGGCACTATCAATCGTCTTTAAGTTGCCCCGGCAAATAATAATAATAACCATCCCTTACCCTACACAAGTCGCTCAATTGGCTTCAGGGGTTGAAACTCACTCGTAAGGGAGTGAATTAGGAGTATTATTATTATTATTATTCTCATCCATGAAAAATTTACAATTTTGAAAAAAATTGTAGCAAATCTCTTTATTTGTTCTCACAATTCTACACACTGTTGATTTGTTCACGTTGGACGTATCACCAAGTATTATCACCGATCGTCATTTCTGTTGCCAGTATTGAATTATGACCAATCATTTCCAGAACATGAATCGCATCTTGAAATCCTCATTGTCGTGTTTTTGGAAGGTACCTATCAATACTTACTTCCCCGAAAGATTATCCATCTTCGATTCGGTAAATCCAAATCAACATTATCTAAACTGGATAGAGTAGTACTATCGGGCATTATGAATTCCTAGGAATGAGAAACGATCAACTTATTTTTACCTAGAAGTCATACTTAAAACTCATGTATATAAATTCCAATTCCAATTACTTTATCATAAATATTATTGAAAATGAAAATCTTTGGATAATAGCTTCATGCAATCTAATTATAATATAAACTTAGATAACGGAAACAAAATCTAGAGATAATAAATATCTCATGATTGTAATTCTTGTCCGATTTTATTTGATTTTGTCTGCATAGATAAAATATATTATCGTAGATTTAAAATGTAATCTTTTACGCAATCTTTCCATTATTTATTTTATAAAACGCTTATTATAAAATGTGTTTAAAATAAAAATCAATTATTTTAATAAACATATCTAGAAGCTTTGGGTACTAAAAAGTGTAAATATATACAACTTAAATTTGACATTGTTTTCGGATGATTGTTGTTAGTCCTGATGTAAATATTTACGTTTTATGTGTGTTACAACTTATATCTCTAACGCTACCTCTATACCTTAGATTTATCTAAGCTCTATACATATATTCTAGCTTTGTGGTATCTGTACAAATCTGACAAACTTGGCCAGGTGTTGTGACGATGCAGGCACGATCATGGTTCGGCGTGCTATATTTATACGCGTTTTATAAAAGCCCAACGAACACGGCTTTAATTATCACCACTAATACTGTTACTGGTGAATATTCAGCTAGTGCAAAGTAACACACCTTAAGGGGTCTATTCTGTAACAATTCCTTTATATTAAACGGCCTTTAAAAATATTTTCTTCTTTACTTCTGTCATTATTTAAACGGATTTTTAAAATACATTAGAGGACTATCTTAAAGAAATCTGTTTAAATAATGACATAAGTAAATTAACGAATACAAATATACTTTTAAAGGCCGTCAATATTTTTAAAGGCCGTTAAATATAAAGGAATTGTTACAGAATAGACCAGTAAGTTAGTTATTTTTTTAAGACCGACCAGAAAATATACACTTTCGGAACAATTTTTCGTTCAGAAAATAACGTTTTGCCGATCAAGACCGAAAAGTAGACGTTAGGGACTGGTAAAAGCTTTTTTAAGACCGATCAGATATTATACACTTTCTAAACAATTTTTAGTCCGGAAAATAACGTTTTGCCGATCAAGACCAGAAGGTAGACGTTAGGGACCGGTAAAAGCTTGTACCGGTCCCTGTTTTTCATTTTTCCGATCGCTGTTTGATAATACAGTCTGCCTTGATTTCGTTACTATATGGTAACAATGTTCCGGTCTATTGCCAAGTAACAGTTCGTTAATTTTTGATTTGTTGTTTATGTGAAACTTGTTTTTGCAATTTTAGAAATATGCATTCAGATTTTAAATTAGAAAATGAAATTCAAGAAGAAAATTTGGAAACAGCAATAATGAACATTTAACATAAATATTCAAACATAATGTATTTGGTTAGTTTCTGCAGTTGTATCCATTATCTAGTTTTAGTATGTGTTAATCACTTTAATAATTAAAAATAAATAATTGAGTTTACATCGAAATGTCGGTCTTAAAAAAATATTGTACGTCACGCGACCGAAAATTAGTGTTAAGCAGGTCTCTCAATGTTTTCTGATCTCGCCTACGGCTCGCTCTGGAATATGCTTGTCTCGACCTGCAAAATACTACTTTCCGGTCTTGTAACGTAAATTACTATTACCGGTCCCTGTTTTTCATTTTTCCGATCGCTGTTTAATAATATACTCCGCCTTGATTTCGTTACTATGGTAATAACGTTCCGATATATTGCCAAGAGACAGTTCGTTGATTTTTTATTTGTTGTTTATGTCAAACTTATTTTCGCAAATTTAAAAATATGGATTTAGATTTTGAATTATCTGACATAGAAAATGAAATTCCAGAAGAAATTTTGGAAGCAGCAAAAAGGCGGCTTACGATATATTTTCAGTGAAATCAGAAGGCCGTTACGAGAAGACATACGACGCATTTAAAAATTGGTGACGGAAAAAATGTAAAACATGTAAGTGAAGAAGTTCTTTTGGCATATTTTGCTGATAATTGTACATTTAACATAAATATTCAAAAATAATGTATTTGGTTAGTTTATGCAGTTGCAGAGATGTGAACTGGTAAATTACCGTAGTAATTTACCGTAAATTACCGTAATTAACCAGAAATAAATTACAGTAATTTACGCGTAATTTATAAAGTAAATTACCGATTTTTAAACTACCCACCGTCAACTGCTGCCACAAAACGAAGCTTATCAACGCATGGAAATGTCTATACAAATAAAAGAAATCGACTAACAAATGAAAGGGCACAAATAATTGTTTATATCAAACAAAATTTAAATATAGCGGAATATTTATCCGGTTCATTACAGTCTTCTTTGGAGTCTTAATCTGAATATGAATCCGACTAGTCTGAGGTAGATAGCGAAACTGAACTGGATAAAATAGTTGACTTAGAGATCTCATTTAGTTCAGCTCATTGTAAAATGCCAATTTAACATAATGCATAATATAATTAATAAAACTCAATCTTATATAATTCTTTTAAAATTAAAATAAATTTTTTGTATACAAAGAACAAGGAACTTAAGTTTTTTTAGATTAAGCACCTGCACAAACAATAAAATTTCCACTTATGTTTTGTTTTCTTTTGCGTTTTGTATTTTCTTAAACCTAAATTTAAATTATATTTAGTAACAAATAATTAGTTTTTTTCACAAACAAACAAAACAATTCTATGTTCGACACATACACTTACACACCTTAATTTAATTTCGAAGTCATTATTAGTCATGGATGTGTATAAAATATATTACGGTAAATTACGCCAAAAATTTATTACCAGGGTAATTAATTTTGGTAACTAAAACCCGTAAATTACCACCGTAAATTACCAAAAATAAAAATTGCGGTAATTTTACATCACTGTGCAGTTGCATGCATTACCAAGTTTTCCGGTCTTGTAACGTAAATTACTATTTAATTTCCAGAATTTAGACAAACAAAACAGTTTATCTGATAGTAACATATGCGCGGCTGAATATTCAGATGATTCCCAAGATGATCAAATACGACCAAAACAAAAATCTATTTCACTCGAGAATTTATTAAAATACAAAGGTAATAATGTATAGTACAACCATTTAACAGATCTGACAGAAATCGTTTAATTTTAGGTCTGAACACCCATTTTCATATTCCGATAACTAAAGCTAGGCAAAGAAATTTTTTACGTGGTAGAATTGGTGCAAATTCACTACTTGGTTCAAATGAACTTGACAGAATGTGTCCAAATAGGGAAATTACTATATTTGTAGGTACATGGAATATGAACGGACATTCTCCACCAAAGTAAGTTTCAATTACAACATAATAATTGGCCCTTCAACTGTAGCTACTCATAGGGAATTAGGTATACCAAATTAAAAGAACCAACATTGTAGTTTTTTACTTTTTATTGGAATGATTTTAATTTGTCTTTGAACATGAAAATTTAATTTTAGAAAGTCATTGTATCTCTTGTAAACCTTTCCTCTACATATGGTTTCTTGACTCTCCTAGTTTATCTATAATAGTTTTAGGTCTCTCAGAACTTGTTTGCCAAACTCCCAACATTATACTTAAATTTATGTCAATTTAATCTAAAGGCTGTATGTCACGATACTAAATTTAGCACTAAATTAAGTTATTAATTTAGTACTAAATTTAGAACTAAAAATATTTTTTTTCTGTTTGCAACGATACCAATTTTTAGTACTAAATTTACTATAGGCGCACGCGCATTGACGTATTAATACGTGAAATTAGCAGAGAAATGAAATATTCTGTGTGAAACAGACAAGTGAAGTAAATGGTGTTTTTATTATCAATTTGACACTAGTTGACTTGACAACAACCAAATACAGCATAATAACCACGAAAAAAACATAATAAAACCTACAAAATCAAACAAGCGAACTTTATTGAAGGCGATAATGTAAAATTGTCGCTAATTAAAAATAAAAGGGTACAGAAAATACCGTCGTGTCAACTTTTTCTATAAAAAACGTCTGCGCAACATTTCGGCGCACTTTTAGTACTAAATTTAGTAGAAAATAGAACAAGATCTAATTAATTAATGACTTTTTTTAGTACTAAATTTAGTACTAAATTTGCTGTTCGCAACGTGAAATTTTTTAGTACTTAAAAAATGCATTTAGTTCTAAATTTAGTACTCAATTTAGTATCGTGACATACAGCCTTAAGTTACCTTTATCTGAAAATGCTATAAATTGGAGCTAGATCTCTTTGAAGTTGACGCCTTCAAGTCAACTTTTTCAACATACCTCAAAAATGACATTACTTCAAAATTTTAAACTTTGCACATTGAGTTAACTTCTAATGACCAATCGGCTTTTATTTTTCTATTGTAATCACAAGGGGCTGAAACAGGGAGTCAACAGACAATTTTCAATTATCATTTTTTTAATTTCAGGTTTTTACATTTTTTATATTATATTTATAAACTATAAGGTATCTTCTAAAAATTATATATTTTTGTTTGAAATCCCTATGACATGACCATCACCATTTTAGAGAAATCCAATTTGAATTTTGCATTTCTGGCGATTGAAAAATTAATTTATTACACAGAGTTTTTTTTTGCAAAACAACAAAATTTGGTAGATGGAGATTGGAAATAGTTTTAAAGTCAAACAGTTGGTATTATATAGAAAAAATTGATTTGACTAACTTAAAAAAGCTGTGTAAGCTACCTTTCGAATTAAGGTAATTTAGGTTATATTATGTATCGAATAATTGCTTGAAACAATTTCACGAGGACAGTTGATCGAATTGGCAATTGCCCGAATAGACATTTGCCCGAAAGACAATTCATCGAGCGAACAATTTCCCAAATAGACAACTAATTGAATAACATTTAACCGAAAGGAAAATTAACCGAAAATGTATTTTATGATGGATAACTTATTTTTATTATATTATTAGGCATTTCTTAAAACTAACTTTAAATTTAGTGTCTGATCGAAGGTTCGGTTTCGGCGGAAAACTGGCCGAAACTGCAGCCGAAACAGAAAATATTTTCGAAAGATTTCGCATCACGTGACCGTGCATGTGCACACAAACTTTTTTGCTGTGTTACAAGTGAACAATCATCAGTACACCTGGTCAAATTTATTGGGATCAAACGAGCAATTTATTTGGTGAAAAATATTACTTCCAGCCTACAACATTAGACTTTAATTATGAATATTAATTTAATTATATATTTTATATTTTTAATAAAAATTTAAATTTTCGTTTTTGATCGTTTTGCAGCTTTGTTGGTAACTCCACACCTATTTACTTATAATACCTATTATAATAATATTTTTTGTTACACAAAAATTCACTACAGATGTAGCAACGATTGCTACTTTGTAATTCACTTATTTTTTTATTTCAAAAAGCAATAAAATATCAAACTATATTAATAAATTAATTAATGGCTTTTTTATCACATAAATAAATAACTAATAAGTAAGTGTTAATTAGTCTAAAACTGGGATTACAAAAAGATATTGCAAATTTCAATAAGAAATTGTCTTGAAAGCAAGTTTCGGTTTCTGTTTCGAGTTCGGCCGAAACTAAGAAAGGAGCCGAAATTCTGTTATGGTTTCGGTCTCGGTCATAAAACTTTGTTTCGGTCGGACACTATTTAAATTGTAAACTTTTAAATTCTTAATCTAAATTTCTTAGCTTCCTTGATATACTGTTCCTTTTTCGTCTTTTATTCGTACTTTTACTTATAACAACCGTGGCACACTTTAGGGTGATGAGTAACATTGTACTTCTTTTTGTATTCGTACGTTTACCTATAAGAGCCGCAGGTTACTGCAAAGTGCAGAGTAACACTATTCTTTAGGGTCACTTTAGTGGTTATTCTTTTAGTTGCATCTAGATAAGTCGAAATAAACTTATTGTATAAGTAGTGAACTTATATTAATATTTTTAGAGAACTAAATGACTTTGTTCTACCTGTCAGCATGGAACACGTACCTGATATTTTGTGTTTCGGTACCCAAGAATCTAGTTCTGAGAGATTTGAGTGGGAAGTCAGTTTACAAGAAACAATTGGACCGTCACATTTACTTCTTCATTCTGTATCTTTAGGTAAGTAATTTATGTCTAAAATGAATAAAGAAATTAACACAAATTGTGAAACATGTTTTTCGTGGGTAGAATTTTATTATTGTTTAATTATAATTATATTAAAACAAGTTGCATGACTAGTACGAGTTTTTACTTGTTTTATTCTTGTGTTTTTTAAATATACACTATTTACTTTTTCCTGTCTGGCATGCGGTTCTAATGTTAAGGGATATAATTGGCAACAACGCATCCGATTGATCGTGCTTTATGTAAAACTTCAAATGAGGGATAGCGCTGTTGCCGTTATGTTATTCGCAATGTAAAGCTACGTTAGAATATGAAAAATAAGTACTGTATGCGTTTGTTTTAAGGTACTCTACATCTAGCAACATTTATAAGAAGAGACCTCATTTGGTACGTATCTATACCAGAAGATTCCAGCTTATCAGTGAGACCGGGCTCTGCCTACCGCACAAAAGGCGCCATAGCAACTTCCTTTATGATTTTTGGCACTTCGTTTCTGTTTGTCACGGCACATCTGAGGGCGCACGAAAAAAAACTTAATGCTAGAGTTTCAGACGTGAAAAAAATTATTTATTCTATGGACCTGCCAAAAATACTTCCTTGCAAAAACAAATGCCATGGTTAGTAAGTTTGTAGCCACTTTATCAATTTAATAATGTCTTATCAATCAACTATGTATGCTATTTCGAAGACCCTTGTAACCAAGGTTTTAAGGATCTATTTAAGAAGTTGATTTGGTGCCATTGATACACGCACTGCGTTTTTGATTCAAGCGTTTATCTAGTCGGTTCTTATTTCCATTACTTGGTATTCTATAAAACACACACCGGTGCGTACCGCTGATAATTCTATAGTCTAGAGAAGAAAGGAGTGCATATATTTAATTAACAGTACGTAGTACAGGTTCAAGAGGTAGATATTTTATTTATACCTCATTCTTCAATGTTTATTTGTAGTTTAAATAAAAATTTTAATTCATCTGATAGGCCTAATAAAAGTTTTCGTTTAGATTTAATCATGTTTCCATGGTTTTTACTGTAATAAACCTTTTATTTTCTCAGATAGTCAGACTTTATTTATGCTTATTTATTCATAGCCGTATCGTAGGCATTTTAATTGATTCGGATTGTTGTATTAGTATATATTAGAATTTTACAGTTATACAAGAATGGCGAGTGCATTAAAAAATATTGCAAGCACAAGTACGCGTAAACAACCTAAGAAAAATAGAAAATTATTTTGCAAAGTACGTCTATGGAATGTGACGTTATATCCCGACTTTCACTGCTCTCTTCTTTTATTCAGACTATAGAGCGCACCTTCAACTGTTTTAAGAAAAGCTAGTTTTTATAAGACGACGAGGATTTATGATTCAGTGTATTATTTACTCGTATATGAGCAGTGACAGACTGCTATGTGAGATTTCTGCGCACAATGTTATTGTACCATTCAATAACAAGCTTGTCCCCGATATAACCAAATCTGTATATCAAGGGGTAAAATGTGAAAACTCGTAAGTCGATTTTTATGATTTATGCGTTTTTGATTATAAAAATAAGCAAAGTGCAAATATTTTAAAAATACAAAAGCTCCTAAGTAAAATTATTATGCGTGAAACTATTAATATAACTTTTGAGCTTCTACAGCTCAAAAATATCTGCAATTTGCCAACTTTTCTAATCAAAAACGCATAAATTACAAAATATAATAACAAGTTTTTGCACTTAAATATCTGTTTACAAGATCTCAATGCTCCGGATTCTGACGTATGTTTGTATATAAAAGAGATGCTACTCTGAAAGTGGTGTAGAATGTTTCAGTCACACGTTAAAAACGCTGAAAAGAACCACATCTCAAAATTTAACCAATGCAAAGTGACGATCCGTCTCGATTTAGACATGAAAGTCCTGATTTTAAACCACTAATCCCGATTTAATATCTGTTCCGATTTTTTCTCGCCTTTATACGATTTAAAAAATAATTTATAAATATTTCATTAAAGACCTAAAATACAATTTTTAATGATGGTGATGTGAAAATATAATACAACATAATTTTGTGTCCGGGGGTAGTATTCTCGAATCACAAATACCGACATTCGCATACGTGTTTTGCAATGTATCTCACTTTGTTGAACGAAAACCAAGTAAGACAAATCATAAATCTCGCATGCGAATCTATACTCGTGACTCGAGAATACTACCCCGGGGTAGAATTCTCGAGTCTCGCATGAAAATTGTCGCACACGGCAAATGTCGCATACCAAATTCGCATGGTTATTAAAAATCGTATTCTCGAAAAAGATAGATAAATTCGAAGCAAATAGCAGAATTTCTTTAAACTGCGATTTTTTTTTTCTATAAATGAAAGAACACCAATATTGCAATGCAAATCAGAAAACGAAATATTAAAATATGTCACGAAAATATCCTGCTGATACTCTACTTGGGGGCGTTAGAATATGCTAGTTACAATATCTATCAAGAGCCGCGTTGATTTCTTAGAAAGTAGAAAATGTTTGATACATAACACATCATTAATTCAAAAGGGATTTTTATAAATAAACTTCTTTCTTCTATGCTGTCGCTCATTAATGTTTTGATTTTCAACAGCCAGTAAATGTTAATTTCATCAAATTCTGCCTCATCCATCTTAACGGTCCACAAAGTCGCATACGAATTTAAATTCGAGCACTTTAGACCACTCGTGTTAAATTCACCTGACATTTATCGTATGTTGTTTTCGCGAATACACTTTTTTAAAATCACCTAGTTGCTATTCGACATTTCACTAATCTCGCATGCGAATCGAGGTATTCGACATCAAAAAGAGAAATATTTTTTGTAACAAATTTAAAATATAACCAACTAATTTATTAGGGTTTAGTTTTAATTATTTAATAAACTCTAGTTACGCATTCTTGTTTCATTGTTAGTATAATGTTTTAATGTTGATATATGTTCAGTTTAAATTTTATATCTCCCCCCCCCCCCTCCACGTTATCGATTTGTTTCGCTTTCTACTTTTCAAAATATAGCCACTTTATCAGTGAACGACTATATTTTTTTTTCTTCCAGATATCACGCAGAATTTTGATTACGTTTTTTGGTTTGGAGATTTGAATTTCAGATTAGCTACGCCTAGAGCGAAAGTTTTAGAATGGCTATCGAAAACAAGTTTTCCGTTACCAGCACATCTACCTCATGGTTATATGCATCACGATCAACTGTGTTCAGTTCTATCAAATGGAGCTGCATTTCGTGGCTTCTGCGAAGCCAAAATCACCTTTCCGCCAACGTACAAAGTAAGTTTTTATGTTAAAAAGTTTTTATACCTATTTTCATGATAACTGAACTGAGGAGAGCAGAGGATTTCGGTCGTTAGATCTATCCTTTAGTTCGTTCGATAACTGCACATTACTATCTACAAGGTGATTCGAAAATGAATGCCATACATTCATTGAACTAAAACATCGAGATAGAATAAAGTAGAGACGACATAAACACTATTTTGCGTTATGACAGATGGACGCACTTGTATTGACGAAAAAGTGTAATGAAAATGGCGACTTGAGTGGTACTTTGATTTCTTTGAAGTCAATGATTTTTTATTTGTTAACTGACGCAATGAAAATGATTTTTTATCATTTAAATAAAGCTATTTAACAAAAATTGCATTTATTTTCACCAAAACTGACTAGCTTCACTATCTCGAGTTTAACGTATGACAAAATGTAATGCAAAGGTGTGGACACTTTAGCATCGTCATAGCATCTCCTCTTTTTTCTATCTCAATGATCTAGAATCTAGACCTTCAATCATGGACGTAGTAGATAAAGTAGTCGTCATGCATGTGCTGAAGCTGCAGTATTCATATTTTTGAGCGACGATTTAATTTCGAAGTGATTTCGGCTCTCATTTTCAAAGATGATGGCGATGATTCCTGGTGAAAATGTACCAGTATTTCGGGAGTGGTTCACTCCTGCTTGAAACTTTCAGATATCATTTACAACAAAAATTAATAGAAAAAACTTCGCTGTCATCTTCTTCAAATTTGGTTCACGGTACTTTTTTGTTTGTTGACAGGAAATTTCACCATCAGATTGATTGCAGCAAACGATTTTGATTAATAATATATACTATTCTATCCCAGAAAAAAATGAACCTAGCGTAAATACAATATATTATTATAATAATTTCAATTTCCAAACTTGAAGGTTTTTACCGCTATTTTTTGTATTGGCATTTTAAGGGCGTGCATTGGAACAGAGAAGTCTGAACAAGTCCTCCCAGAGAGAGACAAAATGAAGTTATCCGAGAGGTGCTGCCTCTAGTTAGCAACTAAGTAACAAATATACGTTCTGCATTTTCGCATTTGCGAATAAAAATGTATTCTTTTAAACTCGCAGGTACGGGCTTTTGTATGGTATAGATTGAAATTTTTTTGACTTTGCCTCCCACTTCGGTGTCACAAGCTGAATTTTTCAGGAATGAAAGTACATGATAAGCTTACCCTTATTCCGGAGGTAATACAAAATTAGACAGTGCAAAAGGGCATTATCATAAAAAATCGAGTTATTGATACCACCATATAGAAAAAAAATGCTTATTTTTTGTTGTAATGCACAATAAGGTCTTTGTAGGAAGTATTTTTTTATAATTATTTAAAAAAAATCATTTGCATTAGCCCTTATGGTCGAAAAAAAATTTAAACGTCAATATCTCGGTTTCAACCGTCCACAAATTTGTATAAAAAATCTTTTTTTTAGAAATATACCTCTCATTTGACGAAAAACGAAGGCCTAAATGAGAAAAAACTATTCCTCATAAAAGTTTCGCCAATGTATTAACAAGGTAACAGTGCTTTCCCCATATAACAAAAATATAGCAATAAACAATTAGTTATGTCATGGTTTAACTAGAAAGCAAACATTGAAGGTAAAGTCTCTCACTCTCTATTCTTCTCTCTCAGTGCTAAAATGTATGCAATCAGTTTGACTCTCTCATATTATTTTATACACGGATTATTGATTTATACGCTATGATTTATTTTTTATTTTTTGAGGAAAATAAAAAATAAGAAAATATGAACTATTTATTGAAGGTATAAACACAGTATATATAAGTATCGATTATAAACAGTAAGGCTATTGCTTTGCAAAATACAATAAATTCCCAATGTAAAAAACATTATAATAAGAATAATTAAAAGTATATAAAGCATAAATTAATAATATTAAAATTTATAGTACAAGACTTTTAAACTAATCAGAATAAGATTCACCATACGAATCAACATTTTCCAAAACATTAGCGACTGTGGTCAAACTTTTTCTGCAGTTTTTCTGTGCCATACAGGTAGGTGCAGGAACCGATACAGCCAATATTTTTTTCCTGCATTTGCAAATTTTGCTTTCTTAGTCTAGAACAGAATAATATTGTTAGAATATTGTACATCTATGAAAATTATCGGTGTATAGTACCTTTTTTGCATTTGCATGATGTAAGTTCTGTTATGTCTGGTGGCAGGTCGGACAGAGTCTTAGAGTGGGTATCAGACTTCCATCTTGATCTACTTTTTATTCATACTCTTTAACATTAGGAAGCTGCACCTGCGGCTTTAAAGAGCTTAGCCAAATATTTAGCTGGTGAAAACATATTAAACAATGTAATCTTAGGTCGTCTTAAGTCGGTGGCAATTTAGCAATGGTTTTTAATCCCCTCAAAATGTTAATGGAAGTAACATTGGCAATTTTTGAATAAATTTTTATGAAACATTTTTCAAGATTAGAGAATATGTTTTCTTTTCCCAATGCCAGACTATTGGCTGGTTGTATCATAACCGGTCAGAGAATGAAAATCAGGCAAATTTTCTAGAAGGTATCATCTAAATTTAAATCATGTACTGCTAGAAATCGTCTTGAGTCTCTTCGCCCTGTTCTGAACCATATCTCTTTAGTCAAATGCTTCTTAAAATAAATTTTTAAGACTAGAACATCTGTATCGTTCCAATTAATAATGCAGCGTGAATGCCCCGAATTTTTGGCTGACAATATGTGCAATAAGATACGAGTATCAGCTTCTTCTTGATTTGAATTTAAGAAATCGTCATTTGATGGTTCAAAATTCGTCCCATATTTATTGATATTCGCGAATCCACCACTAGTTACAAATTAAATATGCTTTTGCTGAATGGAATTTTGAAGAAGTTGCTCTGACAGAAAATTTGTTAAACGTCTTTTGTTAAATATCGAATGAATAAACAAGTTCTATTGTTGCGGAAGTGGAGTATTGGGTCGGTCAATTTCTACATTAATTGATTTCTGGAATCCTTTCTTTTGACGAGTTTTTGATAGAATGTTCTTTATAATGATCATATACCACATCTATCCTTTAAGCATTAAATTTATTTCTAAAAATATCTGCTTGTTTTCACATCGTCAATCAATTTTAATAGACTTCATTTATTTGCTATGTTGAATATAGGGTGTGTTAAAATTTTCAATTTTCTCAATTTTTTTAAATGGAACACCCTATATGTTATACCACCAATTAAAATCAGTTCTATCTCCACTATTCGTTAGCTTAGTATCTTGTAAGTCTGTATATTAAACAATTTTGAGATCAATGTAAACCTACCTAAATTATGATAATTTAATTTGCGGTCTGCATCATTCTCTAATTTCAAAAAAAATTAATGCTTGGCAATAGTGTAATATTTTATAAAAATATTCTAGGATTGAATACAGTATTACTAAAATATTCTAAAAATAAAATACAGGGTATTCTATCTAAAAAATATACATTTTTATTTGCCAGGAAAAACGCAATACCCTGTATATTCAAAAATATATATATCTTTTATTAGCTTTTATTAGATTAAATTTGAAGTTTAAAATTTACTGTTTATTCATTTTTGAATTATCTTCAAAACCTAAAGTACAGTTGAAAACTACAAGTCGAAAAAAAAAGCAATCCTATACTTTACTGGATACATGAAAGTTAAAACCTAATTTAAAAAAAAAAAATACATTTAAGCATATTAGATTTGTATGAATATTTGAAATATTCAATTTTATAAAACACCTAAAAGTACCATTAACACCTAGGCTCCAGTATCCAACAAAATAAGCAAGCAATAAATTTTTACCATCACTGTTACAGACATTTTCCAATCTCAAAGTATACAGTTGAGGCTTTCTCTTATTACTTACATATCCTTCATGCTCTTACGCAAATATTGAATATGTTTAATTCTTACAAAATAAAAAAAATCGAATACAAATCAACTTAATAATTGAAATGATATACATATTAGTAAACTCCTAAATAAGGACCTGCATATTTGAATTTATTTTTATTTTTATTCAAGACGACTTTAGCGCCATCTATTAGAGAAGCTCCGAATTAACCTGTGGCTACTGTATGCAGTTTTAGGAAGTTTTCTTTTATATTTTAGGCAATTATTACACATAAATGGCGATTTATAATTTATTCCAAAATTTACTTCAATGATCTTTTAAGAAAATTGACGCAATTAATTTAGATATTTTAAGTGACATTTGTTGCTTTAGTATATAGCCTATTCAAAGAAGAATTATTTTCATCATCGGGTAATTATTACTGGTATATTTTTAGCTTTGTTTTATCGTAAAAATTACCATATTTTGGGAATTATTTTTAAACGATCCCTTATAGTTAGAGACACCAAAAACCTTTATTGAACAGTAATATATATCTATTATCGGCAGGAATTTTTTCACTTTTATCTTTGTTGTAGTTTCAGCTAAAAAGTCATTGAAAGAGCGTTGTGTATGCCTATGTTAAATACATTGCCCACGCCCGCCCTTAAAGACGTCGTCATCGAGCGCTCCACAGCTAATGCGTCTACAGCAAAGTATTTCCATCTTTTATAAGGTTAGAATTAAAGAATAATTTATATTTCAGTTTACCAAAAAAGTATCACTAGCTCCCCTATATATAGACACAATGCCAGTTGTTTAAATTAACAATGATAGAGGGTAATCGTCGTGGGCAACCCAACAATGAGGTGTAATATTTTAATAATCACCAGATGGCGTTCCTGCAACGTGAGGTCTAGCTGCGAGCTTAGTGTGCATCCACATACTCGCAACAGTTAAGCAGTGATTCTCCGGTCACGTCGTGGATAGGTGACCGCTGGGAGGTTCCACCATGGGCCGTGTCACTATGGGACTCATCCGACTAGCGGTTAACCACCGACGACGTGGAATGAATGACGATGAATCAGGGAGTGAATTGTTGAATGAGAAAGTAGTAGGATCTTCAAATGGTGGTACAATAAGCCGCAGGCTGCAGTGCCGCCAGGCTATAGACGGATTAGGGTGTAGCACGGGAGATCCGAAGGGTGTATAAAAAAAAAAAAAAAAACGTGAGGTCTATGGAACAACCTGTCAAAATATTTTTTTTAATTTTAAAGTGCTAATAACCTTATTAAACTTTATTTTATTCGAAAAATAATTGGTTCAGTGGTGCCCCTTTGACGAGAAAAAAGTTGTCTTGTCTGGATACCGATATCTGCCACATAAGCCCATTTTAATTCCGAATTTTTGAATTTATAAAGCTCCTTCCTTTTCGATGAACAGGGTACGAAAATAATGTTTTTCTTTGTGGGAAAGGAAGTAAAAGTATTATATCCTTTATAGGAAAGTATAATTATTTTTGGAACTACTTTATTAATTGTTTGTTAGGGGTGTGCATATTTCATTAAAACAAACAAAGTTAAGAAATTACCTACTATTTTACATCAGTTTTATAGCATACAAATTAACAATTATTTAAATAAGGAAAATAATCTGTATTTGAATTATTGTGGAAATGGACGTTAAAAAAAATATATATTGTTTGGAGGTTATGTTTAATTAAGAGTATCTATTAATTACTGGTGTAGATTTTAGTATATTACTTAACAAGAGTTGTAAGTAACCCATTACGCACGAAGTGAAAAAGTTACAAGTGCATAATGGGCTTACAACTCGTGTAACGTACTATACTTTTTCTACGTCCACTTATTTTCTTCTATTAAATAAAGGACATATGCTTGTGTCGCCAATCCATAAATTTTCGATAGATAATTTCGTACTATTCATTGGATTTAAGCGGTAACAAATTATGTGTGGCAGCTTGAGCTTTTTCTAAAATCTCCGCTGGAGTGCTCAGAATTTCATCACTTTTATTACTAACAGACATATTCGTAGGTAAAGTTGAGAAAATGTTCGAATACAGTAATATTTTGTTACAAAAATTTACAATATAAACGAAACGACGTTTATTTCCATAGCATGCTAAGAAAACGCGATTTAGTTTTTTAAAATTGAAAAATGTGTTGCCGATATTTAGGGGCATCACTTTTTTAATTCAAAATGTATCTCGCTAATGCGAAAAGTTTTTATGTTTTCAAATTGACTAAATTTATGTAAATAAACCAAATAAAGTAGATAAAAATTTGATTGCAGTTTGATTAAATTAAGAAAATTAAGTTTTCTTATCAAAACGCACGTGTATGTTATGAAATCTCATTACTTGCATGTTATTGTTAAATATCATTTACAAGGAATGTTGACAGTGCGATTTTTAACGTTTACTGACATGGATGTAGAAAAAAAGATTTTTGTCGTAATATCACATGTATTATCTACCTTTGTTTTACTATTATTTATCTCCTTTGATATTTCAACGTTATTAATTTCGTAAAAAAATTGTTATTAATGGAAACACTAGTCTGTACTTTAGTAGTGAAATAAATGTGTTTGTGCTTGCTTTTTAAATTACCAACTGAAGTATACAAGAAATATTTGGCTTCACTTGTAGGACTTGGTGAAAATGAAGATATCCAAAATAGTGTTATGCTCGGAGCGTTTTGAAGTTTTTGGATATAATAATTTTAAATACTGTAAAAACCTTAGAAACTAACATTAAATTTTTTATGAGATCAAATTTTTGATGGCGATATTTTTGAAAATCACGCACTAGATTTGATAAAGTTGATTAAAACATTATTTTAATATTCGAATTCATTAAGAGACCACAAAAAAAATGGATATTTAAAGAAAAATAGAATAAATATAAATACAAATACAAAAGTAGTATTATTTAGAAACGAATATTTTCTTTTTTAAATGAAAACAATGTTTGTTTTTCAACGCCTAGCAGTAACACTAGTTTATTGTTGTATAGTTTAACGTGTTTTCGGATTTTACAAAAATTTTATTGCCAGATCAGCTATAAGTAGCGTTCCATTTAAAATTCCCACCTTAAAAATGGTAAATTTATTGGTTTATTATCTTTTATAAATTTATTAGTCTTAAAAATCTGAATTTTGATTTAAAAATTTCTCATTATTACCAATTTGTAAAACTGTTCAAATTAACTCCAAAATTGGATTCGAAAATTTGTTTACAATAAAACTTGATTTATTTATCTTGTTTTTATTTTATATTTTATATTGTTTAACATAATAAATATTATATTATGCTTGGAAAAAAAATAGTCTTTAAGTTTTTTACCTATATTCCACTCAACTGCATACCCTTATTCCAAATCCAATAGGTTTTAAAGTTTAAACCATTGTAAAATTTATTACACATCATATAGATTAGTGTTTCATGATTTATTATTTTATATTTAACTTAGAAAAAATTAGTATTTACTGCAAATTAATAATCTTTTTCGCTCAATTATCGAAGAGTTATGATTTTATCTTTAATAAGATACGCCACTGGTATCGATAGACTTTTAGTTGCGTGTAACAGCAGCGTTGCCAGACGAGATCTAGAATTACAGTCTGTCTTCTTTCAATCCGCATAAAATATCTTCTTTCTCTTTTCCAATAATTGGGACCAAACAAATGATACGTTATGAATGAAATGCTTCATCTGTTGTTTCTTTTATCAAAGCAGTTTGCCTATTACCCCTCATTGCAAGGCGAGGATAAGAGAGAAAGGGGGGGAGAGCAATGAAGTTGTTTGGAAAGTTACTAAATTCAATATTCCTCTACTTTTTTCGCGCACGAGTAATGCGAAATTGTCGAATAACGTAAAAGATGGATTGCTGAGTATCTTCTGTAATCTAACTAGTCAATAAAAAATAACTACTGATTTTATATTTTTATAAAGTAGCAATATTATTTTACCTCAATGTTTGTACCACACAAACTTTTGCTTTATAAATCCATTATAATTATTGTGTATATTGAACTGTTTGCCTAATTATTGGCATATTTATATACAGATTGAAACCAAAAATATTCATGAATTATTTGTGTATAACAGTATGACAGTATGATATTCGACATCATTGTCATGATACCCTGTTTTGTATGAGGCATTCCATCGAACTCAATGAAAATATTATTTTCTAAAAAACCTCTTATACATTTTCTATAAATTGTCAGGCTTAAATAATAAAAATAGCATTCAAGAAGGCTATGTCGCAACCTCCTTAGATTTAAAAGTCCTTCACATTGACAGCTATTGTTTGACAAGTCGTTGGAATGCCTAAGCACTCATTTTTGTTTTTTTTTTAGTATGATCCGGGGACGCAACAGTTTGATTCTTATTCGAAACATCGAAAGCCTGCGTACACAGATAGAATATTATACAAGCAAAAACGTCAATTTAGTGGAATATCTGAGAATCCGCCGTTGCAATGTCTAATATATGACTCCGTTCCATCAATTACTACTTCCGATCACAAACCAGTGTGGGGCGTTTTTAAGGCTCATCTTAGACCTGGTCCAAACACGTAAGTATCTTTTGAAAATGTTGAGTTAACGAAACTACACTGTGCAGTGAAATTAACCATTATCCTATATTTAAAAAAATATCTGTCCATATTTTCTTTGGTTGCTGGTTGTCTCTCTAAGTATTGCTAACTTACGAGATCGTGTTACTTCAAAACATTGTGCCACCAGTTGTTGATTTAACCCTTTCTGGTGAAAAAGTTCTTGTGCTAAATTTCTTGCATTATTCATTTTGTATGGGTTTCGCTAATATTTCCGAACTCACTCTATGTATGATAGTATGATAGTTTAAAAAAAACTGCACCAATATGCACCACTAATTATTATTTTTGTAACACTCCTTAAGAAACTACAGTTATTTTGACATGGGGGAAGGGGGGCAAATGAACGGTGCCCCCCTCAGTAATTTTTTTATGATTTACTGTAATGCACCAGTTAGCCCTTTTAATGCCCACTAATAAAACTGTTTTTCCATTAAGACCGTATACATTGGAACAACTCTACTTACTAGGAAAATAAAAAATACTGAGGACAAAAAAAACTTATGGACTTGCGTGTAATTTAAGGGTATTTCTTATAATTTTGGAGAGCATGTCACACATTATTGAAAAGGTAATTTAAAGGGAAATAATATTGTGTAAAAATCCAAGATGGCTGCCATAAGAAATAAAGTAACGATAGGTAACTTGGAATAATGACAATTTGATTATTTTTGTAACAAAACTAGTCTCCATTAAAAAGTATTTTTGAAATTTGTAACTTAAGGTTGTTTTTAATCACTTTTTTTTAATAAACAAAAAACTACTTATCTTTTAATAATTTTAAAAAAGGAACCGAGATCAATATCATTCTCTAAAACTTTTCCTTTGAAACTGACCATCTATCACTTATATTAAGAGTCAATACCCAGGTCGCACCCACTAAAAAAAAATAGTTCATTAACTTAATAACTTTTAAAATAATATTTTAGGCTCAATTACTGTGATATTACTTTAATATTGTCTTTGTTATTAGTCTAAACAAATATAAAAAAGTATAAACAAACTATACTGATTTCTATAGAATAAACGAAATTTTCTACTTTGGAACATCATTATACAATTTTAATAAAATTTTGAGAGTGGTATAATTGGGGGAAAGTTAAAATAAATATCAAAAAAAAAATATACATTCATAAGCATGTGGAACCTTTACCACTCCTAAAATTTGAAGGTGGAAAAATAAAGAAAACAGGACCATTTAATCTCACAAAGATTAAACGGCGACCGGTCATCACTAAAATTTGGTCAAAATTGTACCATAAAAAAAGACAAAATGTGTTCCAAAGTAGAAAATTTCGTTTATTCTGAATAAATCAGTACATTTTATATTTATATATTTTTATATTTAATTAGTCTAATAATAATACCAAAGATAATATCAAAGAAATATCGCAGTAATTGAGCCTAAAATATTATTATTTTAAAAGTTATTAGGGTTAATAAACTGATTTGTTTTTTGGTGGATGCGCCCTGGTTATTGGCTTTTAAGGAGCACTACACATGTTTCGGATTTATTTTCATCTTTATATATTCATATTTAACTTTTTTTTAAACGTTAAACCACAAATAACAAATAATTTAAAATTTTAAAACTAGCGAAATCCCACCTTTTTGTTTTACGTCTTGTGTATTCAAATATAGTTTTGTTTCAATCCTTATTATAAAATATATATTATTATTTGTGTATGTTATTAAGGTGAATACAGCACCCCTTATAATTTTCAGACAAGGATATTTCAAAAAGAAATTTTGTTAAAAAATTTAAATTTTGGCAAAATAAATTAGGTAATATTATCTAGATATGCATGTATTTTAAAGTTCTAAATCGTTTTAGTTTCCGAGAAAAAAATATCAAAGAGCTTTAAATTTTGAAATGTCATAATGAAAATAAATGCATTCTTCAAGAACACTATTAGTAATATAATTCCGAAATTTGAGCTCTTAATAGCACTTAGTGAGGCGGTTTAGCCATTAATATTTGAGAATTTTAAAAAAAGCATTAACAAGACATTAAGAGCTTAAATTTGGGGATTACATTAAGAATAGTGCTATTAAGGAATACATTTATTTTTATTATGATATTTTAAAATTTAAAGCCCTTTGATTTTTTTCTTGGAAACTGGAAGAAGTTAAAATTTTAAAATATATTCATATTTATTTTTCCAAAATTTTAATTTTTTAAAAAAATTACTTTTTGATATATCCTTGTCCCAAAATTATAAGGGGTGCTGTAATCACCTTAAGTTTTAGAAGATTATTTACGATAAGAACACATTTTTCTAGGATTCCTTTGTCAGCTGGCCTGTTCAATAGAGAAGTCTATTTGGAGGGTTTGAGGAGACGCGCGACAACACTTAACAGTATTAAAGATAATGCCTCAATTTGTTCTCTACAGTAAACTAAAACTTAAAGAGATATGTTTCCTTTGTTAATGTTTAGGTATCATTAAATGTTATCTGTTAGTGTAAATAGTTTTATTGCTTTACATCTATTATCTATTATTAAACATATTATAAAAAATTAATGGGATTAAACTTAAATATATTTAAGAGTACGAGACAAGTACAATGTATAAAATTACTTTTATTAAAATCAGACCAACGTTTTCTGCTTTAGAAAGCCATTATCACTAAATTAATTAATGACTAACTATTATTAAAAACGGTTAATTCCTTTCCTATATGAACTTTAATAATGCTAGTCAAATCATTTCAAGCTTTATAAACGTTTATGTCAAACATGTTTTTTTGTGGTAGTATCCACCGAACGAAGACTGTGTTGATGGCATTGCAAAGCTGAAAGCGCACTGCTAATTTTATTTTTACTAATGTACTCGTCTTATTCTCTTCACCTCATTTTTAGGGTGCACATCATTTCGTCATTAATATTTCAAAATGCTTCACGCTGGCACTTAATCAGATTTGGTTCGTAAAGGATTCCTGTACTCACTAACAGGACTTCTGTAAATTGGATTCATTTCGGCCGCATTCTTCGTCTCTGCCATAAATCGTCGATACTCATCTCTTTCCTGTTTGTAATTCTTAATTTTCCAACAAATTATACCAATCACACCGCCTATTAAAATTGCAGCCAATATAGCACCGCCCAGAAACATAGTTTTGATACCAGCTGTCATCGTGCAGATTTTTCTAGCTGGCAAGCTAATGTTATCGTTATCTTCTGCTTGATAGTAACAATATTCAAAGATACACCTACTGTTGCCTTCGAAAATGGCGGTTGTGCAAATTTTGTCATCGTCGCCGCCTGGAAAGAATTGTATATGTTAACCAAGCTTATATGTATTTAGGTTGGGGTTAAGAAATCCTGAACTATTCGAACAGGTATAGAATTTCTAATAGATATTTGGCAAATTAAAAAAATCCATGTAAGCGTATCAAAACACCAAATATAGCAGACGGGTCTAGAGATGGACGAAATCTGTTATAAATTATTTTTAGTGTTCAACAAACTTAAACAATTAATGATAAAATCAAAATTACCGTTTTATAAAAATATTACTGACATAGTTTTTAATTGCCATGTTAAACAACATTTTCCAATTAGAAATTTTTAAAATTTATTCTTTAATTACTATTATTTGTATCACATATTTGAGAAACCTCGAAAAACTTATTATTGCTACAAAAAATGTTTTTGAAAAAAAAAAATTGAAGCTAGTATAGAATGGAACCATTAACGCATGATAAATATTTTTTTTGTCTTAGAGCTTTTATAGAGCTAAAATAAACTAAAATGGGTCTGGAACTGTGAGGTTTTTCAAATACATGATAATAAAAAATAAAAACACAGTTGCGTTATTTTTAAATTTAATTTATATAAGAAATGGCACAGTTGTTAAATACCTGAAATTAAATTTTTGTTTATACAAATTTCATCGTTTTGTCTATCCACTGTTAACCAGTAAAATATTTTCTCATAAAAATCTTGTACTTCTGCCCCTTTGTAATAAAAGTAGTTGTGATTGGCCAGTTCTGGACGGGAGGTAATGAGAGGTAATTAGTAATTATCATAAGTACTCACCCCCACCCTTCGCGCAATTAGCAAGTACCTCCCAATGAGCTTAATTGCATAGTGTAATTGCATAGTGTAATAAGTGTAATTACTTCATACGCATATAGATATAAGTATTTACTATGTATATCGAGTAGCGTGTAACGAGCATAGTAAGTACCTCTTAGATAGTAATTGCTATGTATATCATGTAGTGTAATGGGTTTAGTTCAAGTACATATGAGTGATTACTATTGTAGCATAAGGGAATTATGTCGGAGTATACCGAAACACATCCTTGACTCTCAACCGTCATAGCTATAGTGAAGCGCTAGTCTCCAGCAGACGCGCAAGACGTAAACATCGGTGGAAGGGATAGTTCCCCATTCTTCACAAAATTAGCGGGTACCTCTCAGGCTTGTATATTATGAATATGAGTTGCATAGTAAGTATTTTTCAGATACCCTATACACCATGTGTAATGAATATCATAAGTACCTCTCATCACCCCATACACATTGAAATGTAATGAGTGTAGCTACCTTGTATATATAGTAATTTCTATGCATATCATGAAGTGTAATGAGTAATTTAAGTAGCTCTTGGTTATTACTATTGTAGCGTATATAGCATTTTGTATCCTAAGTACATTCTAAATAATAGACATAAATGGAGGATAAAGTCCGCACATCCTTGACTCTCGACCACCATGATTAGAGTGAGGAACCGGCTGGGCGCAAGCATACACGGCATGAATATCGAGGCAGGAACTTGGAAAAAGTGGGGGATTTAGTTAACAAGTACTTCTTAATTCTAAACCCACTGTACTGAGTCTAATTGCATAGTAAGAAACTTTCAATGTATAATGAGCATCGCAAATACTTTTCAATACTCCATTCATATATAGGTACCTTGTATGTATATCATGTGTAATAAGTTATAGTAAGTACTCCCCATTACTTCAAACACAATGAAGTGGTGTGAGTATAAGTACATTATGTATAGTAATTGCAATGTATATCATGAAGTGTAGTGAGTTTAATATAACTACCTCTTGGGTATAACTATTGTACCGTACAGAGCGTGAATATCGAAGGAGCTTAAAAGAGGTAGGGGATTTTTGAGAGGATATATAGTAGCGTACGTATCCAAAAAGTTTAAACATCGAGAGCTTACGCAGTGTATGGTTTCAAAACGGCTAAAAATATCTTATTTTAATACAAAATACATACAAAAACGAAAAAAAAAATAACATCAGAATAATTAAAATATCTTTCTCAGGTGAAAGACACCAAAAATTTAAAACAAAAAAATAAGTAAAATGCAGACGTTTTCAACTAAACTATTATGTTTTGATTAGTGGAGATCTATGTATAATAATACGCAAACCTCGAACACAGGTAAAAAGTGCCGGGTCCTTTAGGCATCTAGTTGGGCTAAGTTTAGTAGAAATATGTGTTTTTTATGGTCGCCATCTATAACGAAGTTTAGGTAGTTCTTCTAGAGTAGGGTGATGAGATATAGTAGAACCCTGTTTTTAATAGTTTTCGGATTATTTATTGTGGGTAGAAAACTACAATATTTTAAGAACAAAATAAGTAAATATTTGGTGAAATATTAAGCTGTATATTATAATTACTAAAATATCGAATGTTTATTGAATTAGTAGTCATTTATATACCAATGCTAGACTTTTTTTTTAATTGGATTCACAAAAATATCAAATAAATAATAAAAATAGTAAAAATGTATAAGTGTAATTGTGGTATAATATTAAGCATCTGTGGTAGAGCCACTGTAAATATTTTTTACTTATATAGTATACACATTATTTCATTAAAAATTTCTACAATTTTATTGTAAGTATAAATTGACCCATATTTGTTCCTTTAATAACGGCCATATATTGTTTCACATTATTACGATAGGTGGATAATGTATTCCGCTAAGCTCTGGCCTAATGCCGCCTTCTTAAAATCAAATAAATAGTATAAGAAAAACGATGAAGGCAGCAGTCTTTGCCGCGAATATGATACATGTAAGTTGGACTTGCACACATTTTGTGAGGAAATAGTTAGTTACCCAAGGTATGAAAACTTTCTTGAAAGATATCTTACCATACATAACCACACAAATAAGGAGCAAAAACGGATTAATGGAAGAGCCACAGTCAGATGATGAAATCGATTGGAGATTACTTACATATCTATATTTATAATTAGAATATAAATAAAACAATATACACAGTTTTAATGTTGTTTTTCTTTAGAAAAGGTTACACGTTATTATTTTTGTTAATAGTAAACACAAGTATAATTTCAGATATATAAAATAAGAAAAACGTTTGTATTTCATTGAAAAATACATTATCTTTGACACAGGATTAAGCCTTTCAAATATACCCAAATATTTGATATGACTAGACATAGTCTGCGCCTAATAGTTATTCTGACTGATTATTACCAAGTATGGAAGCATTCCCATATCATGGGGCTGTCAGAATCTGTTCTCTGCAGGAGGTGCGAACAAGAAGATGAGACCATCGAGCATATCCGCTACTATTGCCCAACGCTTTCATTTATTAGAAAATTTATGTTTGGTGAGTATCACCTAATACCGGCCAATATAAGGGAAGCACACAACTCTTGGAGACGTCAACTACATTAATTCATTTTGTATGACTGAAATGTTTCTATTCACAGCGATGCCATTTCAAATAATATTGACGTCACAGTGTACTTTAAATGGGAAATCTCAATTGCGTCCTCTACCAAACATACTACAAATTTCGGTTCGAAAAAAAAAAAAATTAATTAAAAACGTACGTAAACTATGCGTTTTCGTTAATGACATATGTATTTCTTACTTAATATGAGCATATTATAATAGCTACATAAAAAATTAAAACATACAGAAAAAACGCAATATCTTTCAGGCAGGATTGGGCCTTTTCATATATAGTCAAATACTTGACTATGGCTGGTCATTGTCCAAGTATGGCAGCATTTTCATATTAATGGGCTCTCAGAATACACACTGCAAGGAGTGCGAATAAGAAGATGAGACCATCGAGCATATCCCCCCCTTCGATTTATTAAAATATTTGTATTTAGCGAATATCGGCTAACACCGACCGATTTGAAATAAGCTCCTCTTAGCGACGTTGTCACCTACATTAAATCTGTAGGTAAAAAGATCTACGCCAGAAATATCATTTTACAGTTAGGTAGGTAGCGGTTTTCATATTTGGTAAAGCGAATCACAATACACAGGTGCATCGTGTCGATATCTTGGTGCCATAAAAATATTTATTTTTCTTAAAGTATCTATCTCTGAAACCCTCTATTTATGGCGAACTTGTATGTGTATGATTTTGTTAAAATTGAAAAGGATTGTTCATAGTTCATCTGTATTTTCCAATATAGTAAGTATAACAGCAAATTTGTATTCTCCTTCACCTTTAAGTAATATATGTGACTACTAATTTAATATGCATTCGATATTTTAGTAATTATAATATACCTATATCTAAAGATTTATTTAAATATTTATTTGTCACCTGTTATCTTATAAAGGACTGGATTCTAGATATTTTTGTGAATTTAATTTAAAAAAAGCCTAGCATATGTATATAAATGACTATTAATTCAATATGCATTCGATATTTTAGTAATTATAATATACAGCTAAATATTTCATCAAATATTTACTTATTTTGTTCTCAAAATATTGTAGTTTTCTACCTACAATAAAAAATCTTGAAAACTATTAAAAGCAGGGTTCTACTAAATCTGACCACTATTCTCTAGAAGGACTGCCTAAACTTCGTTATAGATGGCGACCATAAAAAATACATATTTCTACTAATCAAAGCCCATCTAAATACCTTAAGATCAGGACCCATTTTCTACCTGATTTGAGGTTTGCGTAACGTAGATCTCCTTTAATCCAAACACAATAGTTAGAATTTTTATATCTTTTTCGATTCCACTCTTGGCTTGTTCTGAGAGCATACGAACGGTGGGAGATATGTCGATACCAGCTACTTTTTAGTCTAAAAAGTAACCGGTATCTTTTATGCGCACTCTCTGCGGGCAGATCATTGAAATCGAAAACGGTAATAGTTTCAACACATTGTGTGCCAATGTGTCTGCGTTTTACTTAATTTTTGTTTTAAATTTAAATTTTTGATGTCTTTCAAATAAGAAAGATATTGTAATTATTCTGATGTTATTTTCCATTTTTGTATGTATTTTGTATTGAAATGAATTATTTTTTTGAGCTTTA